GGCTTTCCCTCACAGCTACAGTGTTCATGAGTTTACCTTCTGTGGTTGACCAGTTGTCCTCAGCTACTTACATGGTTCACAGTCCTAGCTCTTGGTAGAACTATGGAAACTGCCAGAGTGTTCCAATATGTGTGGTGTCCATCATGTAGTCAGGCCTGCCAAAGCCTGCCCTTGCGGGGTCCATCTTTTGGGGACCCTTCTGGTGACGGAACACTCAGGCTGCCAGGGGTGTTTGAGGCTCGGGTGCGCAGGGAGCAAGTTCTACCTGGCAGTCCAGCCTGTGAGCTGGGTGGTACCCACAAAGCAAATATATTAGGTGCCTTGTTGAGATTGGCTTGCCAGATTCACTGTGGAAACATAGTAGCTTCCAGAAGGTGAGCATGATGCTTAGTCATGGAGCCGGCCCTTAGCATCAGTTAGAAAGCAAATGTAATTCTGCAAGCCCTCAGCTGGAGGAGAAAACGGCATGTTTCTTTTGATTTTGTCTATATGTTATGTGGGAAGGAGGGAGGGAGGGGAGGACTGGGGCTTGAACTAAGGAGCTGGGCACTGTCCCTTAGTTTTTTCACTTGAGGTTGGTGCTCTACCACTTGAACCCCAGCTCCACCTCTGGCTTTCTGGTGGTTAATTGGAGCTAAGAGTTTCATGAACTTTCCTGCCTGGGCTGGCTTCAAGCTGTGATCCTCACATCTTGGCCTCCTGAGTAGCTAAGATTACCGGAGTGAGTCACTGGTTCCTGGCTAAGGTAGAATTTTAACTGTGCTATTGCTTGGTGCTGTAGAACCTGACTCCTTTCTGGGGAAGGAAGCGTCTAGCTTCATGCTTATTTCTTCTCAACCCTGATGAAGGCTGGCCCTCTCATGTAGTCTCTACAGTTTTGAACAGAAACCCTGTTCATGCACCTCTGGCAGCCCAAACACAGCCAGAACACGCCATTGTCGAGACCCTCACGTTCCCCAAGTCTGTACCTCATAACCACATGGTTTCATGTTCAAATGTGAGCAACCAGAAAGTCCTCAAACCCAAGAACAGTGGCCCAAAGCCAACAGCAAAGCTCCGGGGCTCCCAGTGGGCGGGGCGGCTCTGGGAGGCTCGGGCAGTCCTTCCTGTGGTCCCTTCCGCGCTGACTTTAGAGCCGCTTCCTTACCATCCTGGCTCACCGATGCTTCTCTGGTCAGCAGAGGTAGTTCCCTAAGAACAACCCGGAACCCTTCCAGCATTTTACGGAAGGCCATGATGAAAGATGGAAATACTGGGAACAGGCGACATTTGTTCTTCACCAGGCTCTGAGTTCTCAAGGAGGCTGTGTCAGGGGAGGGGCAGGGAGCTGGAAAGCAGTAGTCTGGGGTTCATTCCTCCCTCCCAGCTCCTCAGAGATTGGGTCAGTCACCAAGCACACATCAGAGTGTAGCAAACGCTTCTGAGCTCCAGTGATGTTGCCAGGCACTTCCTAGGTGACTAAATAGCTCTTATTTCATGTCATGAACACAGGAACACTCAGAAGCAGCTATCACCGGGTTCAACCTCCTGAAGAAGAAACCAGGGCTCAGAGAGATTAAGTAACTTGTCTAAGATCACACAGCTTAGCAACTCTGTACCAGCTAGTCACGCCTGCAGGTATAATCGCCTTGCCACAAACATTACAGCTTCTTCCTATTGTGAGCAGTTTATTTCCACTGAAGGCCATCTTAAGAGCTTTTTCTTGTGTGTGTGTGTGTGTGTGTGTGTGTGTGTGTGTGTGTGTGTGTGTGTGCTGGTTCTGGAGTTTGAACTCAGGGCTTGAACATTGTTCCTGAGCTTTTGTGCTCAAGGTTAGTGCTCTGCCACTTGAGCCACAGCCCCATCTCTGGCTGGGTAGTTAATTGGAGATAAGAGTCTCACACACTTTTCTGCCTGGGCTGGCTTCAAACTGCGATCCTCAGATCTCAGCCTCCTGAGTAGCTAGGATCATGGGTGTGAGCCGCTAGCACCTGGAAAGGGAAGGCACTTTATAGGAGCCCAGCTATCAGGTTGCTTATTAGAGGTGCTGGCTCTGAGTACACACCCCATAGTCTACATAGCATTGGAGGAGTCTGGACAACCCAACACTGGCATTTAGAAAGATCTGTTAATAAAGAAAATTGCTTGCTAGCTCTGGCTTCAGTCTTACAGACAGCTTTTATTTGTGGGAGGATTGCAAACCAAGGGTGCTCCTTGGTTTTCTTTCTCAGTCTACTGGCTTGGGCCAACTTCTCAGCTCCAAGGGGATTAGCATTTTAATGAACAAAACAGTTGGGAAGTTTGGTGCAGACTTTTAAAGTCTTTGGCGCACAGCGCAGAAGCTAGAATTGTGTGACTGCATTTGTCATTCACCGAGTACAACGCCCCAGTTTCTTCCTTTCTTTCTGAAACTGGAGGACACCCATTTTCTTAACTGAGACCTTGGGCCTCTCGAATGCTGGTTCTTACCCCATAAAGCGGTGTCTCCCAGGAAAAGCAACCCGGCTTACTCAGAAGAGAGAGTTCAAGGGCTGAGCTGAACCCCCAGAAGATAGATTATTCCCTACTCCTGTACCTCAGAATGTGACTTTATTTGGAAATAGAGTTGTTACTAGATGAAGTCATCCTGAAATGAAGGCTGTTAGCTAGGATAAGACACTGCAATGAAGGAAACTCATAAAAACGAAGAGGAGAAACATAAATGCACTCCACCATGGCACAATGGAGCAGAGACTGGAGTGAGGGAAAGGCTTACCGAGGAGACAAGTTGGAAGAGGAAGGATCTTTGAGCCCCTACACGAGCCATCACCCTCAGAGTCAGATTCGGAGCCTCTGGAATTGTGAGAGTAACTGGTGTTGTTTTAAGCAGTGCAGTGCATGTGGCTTAGTGGAAGCAGCCACAGGAACCTGACCCAGGTGAGCAGCATTTGCTCTGTCTTTCAGAGTCTGGCCAGAGCTTTCCTGGAGTGGAAACGCACACTGATGACGTCAGGGCCCTGAGACAATGCTGGTGCAGTCAGTGGACACTTCCACTGCTTTTGGTCTTATCCAAACAAGCAGTCAGGCCAACTACCACCCAACTACATAGACAGCTGAGACAGAATTATACTCAGCACTAAGGAGCCTACGATTGCCCTTTAAAATAATGATATCTAGGCTGGTAATACTAGCTACTCAGGAGGCTGAGATCTGATTGCAGTTCAAAGCCGTCCAGGCAGGAAAGTCCATGAGACTTTTATCTCCAGTAAGCGCCACACACACACACACACACACACACACACACACACACACACACACACACACACACACACACACACACACACACACACACACACACACACACACACACACACACACACACACACACACACACACACACACACACACACACACGTGGGGCGGAGCTGTGGTGGAGTGCTAGACCTAATCTAAAGAAGCTCACAGACAGCCGGGCACCAGTAGCTCACACCTGTAATCCTATCTACTCAGGAGGCTGAGATCTGAGTTTCACAGTTCAAAGCCAGCCTGGGCAGGAAAGTCTGTGAGACTCTTATCTCCAATAAACCACTAGAAAACCAGAAGTGGCACTGTGGCTAAAGCAGTAGAGTGCTCACTTTGAGCTGAAGAGCTGAGGGACAGCGCCCAAGCCCAGAGTTCAAGCCCCACAACCGACCAAAAAAAAAAAAAAGAAGTTCACAAACAGTACCCAGACCCTCTGTGTGCCTGTCCAGAACCTAATTTTTTTCAGAACACATACACCAAAATCTAATAGCATGAGATTTTTTTTCATTCATCTTTTTTTTTTTGGGGGGGGGTCTGGTCATGGGGCCTGAACTCTGGGCCTGGGCGCTGTCCCTCAGCTCTTCAGCTCAAGGCTAACACTCTACCACTTGAACCACAGCGCCACTTCCGGTTTTTTTCTTTTTGCTTATGTGGTGCTGAGGAATTGAACCCAGGGCCTCAGGCATGCAAGGCAAGTACTCTACCACTGAGCCACCTTCCCAGCCCTTCATTCATCTTTTGTAAAAATTTAAAATGATTTCAGATTCACTTACAGGGTTTTTTTTTTTTTTTTCTTTTTTAAGGAGTTTCTGCTAAGGCCTGAAAGGCTTTTTTTTTTTTTTTCTCTCCGTCATGAGTCTTGAACTCTGGACCTGGGCACTGTCCCTGCACTCTTCAGCTCAAGGTGAGCGGCTCCATCACTTGAGCCACAGCGCCACTTCTGGTTTTCTAGTGGTTTATTGGAGATGAGTCTCACGGATTTTCCTGCCTGGGCTGGCTTTGGACTGTGATCCTTAGATCTCAGCCTCCTGAGTACCTGCACCCGGCAGGCTTATGTTTTGAAGCCAGCCTGGGCAGAAAAATCGGTAAGACTTCTATCTCCAATCAGCCACCAAAGGCCAGAAGTAGAGCTGTGGTTCAAGTGTGCCAATCTTGAACAAAAAGGCTAAGGGACAGTGCTCATGCCCTGAGTTCAAGCCCCAGTACTGGCACAAGAAAAAAAAAAAAAAGAGAGGAGATTCTGTGCACTCTTTGGGGTTTTGACATTGTCGGTTTTAGATACAGTACTGTTCCATCACTGCATGAATCTTTCAGATCATGGTTTTCCAACCAGTCCTCCCTCTCTCTCTCCCTCCTATTTCCCCATACCCTGGGGGCCCAGCAGTCACTATGCCGCATTTCTCTAATTTTGACAGCTACTCTACAGAAAGCTCCTGGGGACGCTAGGTATCGCACTAAACACCCCCTCCCCCATATTTGGGCTGTCATTTAATTCTTAAAATCTAAATCCTGTGAACAGAAAACTCCAGAAGAGTGAGGAAGGCTTCCAGAGAAGCAGGGAAACGGCAGCGGTAATAACACCAAAACAACAACCGCAGCAAAGCAGCACCGGCTAAGGATTTATTGAATACTGGCTCTGCTCCAGGCACAGTGTGAATCACTTTGACCTTCAGCTATACTGAGAACTGGGTTCTAGTATTTAGCTCATTATGCAGATGAGAAACTGAGGCCTCAGGGAGTTATGTGGCTCGCCTGCAGGTGCTGGCTGTTAAGTGCGGCCCTGCCTTGCTGTGGTCCCGCTGGCTGCGCGGCTTGGCTGAGCCATCAGCTATGGAATAGCCAGTCCTCCTGCTGGCTTGCTTGTTCTTGTATTTCATCCCCATCAGCGCCTTGGGGGTCTGCCCACCACCTGACGCTGCATCCATCAGGGTGAGGCTCTGGGCTTGTGGGGATAATGGCGTTATGGTGGGGTGTTTGCCACACAGGGACCTGAGGTCTTCCAGGAAGAGCTTCCTGAAGGAAGGGGACATGGCGTTGTACAGGAGGGGGGTCACCGCTGGGCTCACATAGAAGAGGGCGTTGGTCACCATGTAGAAGTAGTGATAGAAATCGTAGAGTGCGCTGGAAGAGAAACCCAGAGGCCTGGTTAGGGGACAGAGGCCTCCTTCCAGTGCCAGCCCCTTCCGCAGGGAAGGAAGCAGGGGGGAACTGAGCACACGCTCCTCCACCCCCTGCTGTGCTCGCCTGGGCGGCGCCACCCCTGGCGTGGGGCCAGCATAATGAACGGGACAACCAGGACTTCCATCCATGCCTCTGACATGCTGCTGGGCCAAAGAGAAGGTCAAAGTCTTAGGGGCTGGGCCTGTGGTTCATGCTGGCAATCTGGCTATCCTTGGGAAGTGGAGGGAGGAGAATCATCATCTAAGGCTGGACTGGGCAAAAGTGAGACCCTATCTGAAAAACAAAGCAAAGCAAAAGGGCTGGGGTTGTGGATCAAACCTTGTGAGTCCAGACCCTGAGTTCAAACCCCAGTCTCTCTCTCTCTCGCTCTCTCACTCTGTCTCTCTCTCTTGCTCTCTCTCTCTCACTCTCTCTCTCTCTCTTGCACACACATACATGTACACAGGGAAGTCTTCCTGAGAAGCCCTGCACCTTGTTGAGAGTTGCTGTGGTGGTAAGGGCTTGGAATGTGCATGCACACGAGAGTGCATGGGTGTGGAAGAGGTACCAGCTAGCTTCTGAGATGATGTCCTCAGAGGCCACGTGGGGCTCTCCTTGGTTGCATGCTTGGCTTCTTCTTATAATCCCAGGCCCAGTGGTTTCCAAACTGCAGAGAGTGGATTTTCTCTCCTCTATTTCAGAAAAGTGGGTGTATGTTTTGGTCTCTGTTTAGGGGACTTTTTATTTGCTCACAGAGCTATGTCTTGTGACTTTCTTTTTCTCTCCTAATACCATGGTCCTTGCCTCATTGCCTAGCCTGGAGGCTTTTCTCCTTCTGGACATCAGGACACTCGTACCCCTGCTTGACTGACTTTCCAGAAGGTTCTCACTCATATGGCCTTACCATGTAGGGCGCTTTCTGACCATACTCTGCTCCCCACCTTCCATGGGGAGATTCTGAGAGTGCAGAATGCACAGGACTAGCTGGACAGCAGGCCAGAGCTCCAGAGGACCTAGCAACCAGGAACAGTTCTGGGAAGCAGTGGAGACCCCAGGCCCATCCCAATGGGCCCCTACCTGTGACCAGGGCTCCTCAGCACACTTACTCACTCCATCCATCATCAGAGACATAGCAGTACATGAGCCTGCGGGCATGGTACGGCATCCAGCAGATAACATACACGGCCACGATGGCTCCTGAGAGACAATGGGAGAGGAAGGGCATGATGACAGAGCAGACATATTCCTTCCTTCCTCTCCAAGGGAGATGCCGCACATGGCAACAGCATATCCCTGGGACTTATTCCTGGAGCCAAAGGAGGTCAGGGCAGGGAACTTGGTTATCTCACAGATCCCTGTCTGGGCTTCTTTTTATTTATTCACTTGTTTTAGTGCAGGTTGTGGGGCTAAAACTCTGGGCCTGGGCCCTATCCCTCCCTAAGCTTTTTGCCCAAGGCTAGCACTCCACCACTTGAGCCACAGCTCTACTTCCCTAAGCTTGTTCTTGAACCTTTCACTACTCAGTCTTCTAGGGGAAAGTCCATTTCAACCAGGTCCTGGACACAATGTATTTTCAGAATCATCAGCCAGCTACTGAGGTCTATTCATAGTTTGGGGGAACAATACTTCCACCGGGATGACTAACCTCCTATCCAGCAGGATGTAAATGTCTGCCCTGCTTTGGACAGCTTCTCCTGCTGCACCTCTTCTGATGATTAAAGGCAGCACCATCCACCCAGCACACAAGTCACAAAGCAGAGTCTTCTTAATTTTCTATTCCCTCTTTTATCCTCCTCGTGTTTCTCCTCTCCATTTCTGCCCCATCCCTACTGCTACTACTCCACAAGGATGGGGGTCTCCCCTCCACCAAACTCTAACAGCTGCCCCCTCCCCTGCCTCAACATGCCGTTCCATTCTCTAGGCCAGTGTGGCTCCTGCAGCAACATCTAACTCGCTGATGTTCCAGAAGTAACTTGGTAGAACTGCAGAATTTCGTGCCCACTCCAGATCTACTGAGTCTGACTCTGTGTTGAGATGTTACGAACATCAAAGTCTGGAAACACTATTTGGCCCATCCTTCAAAGAGGACAAATCTCCTGTTACTCCAGGACACTGGCTCTTGCAGTGAAGCTGGACACCTTCCTGTGCTGGTGGTGTCCCTGTCAGTCACACTGCACTTAGATCGTACATCTCTGCCCATGCTCAGGACCTGACATGGCTGAGAGCACAGCTCTGTCTCTAAGCCAATACTCCCACAAGCTAGGGGCATAGCAGGTGCAGGGAGAGAGCCAACTTCCTGTGTTTTTTGCAGATACTCTTACAAGGCTAAATTGTCCCAGCTCCTTACAAACCAAGTAAGCAAACAGATGTATGATATAGGATGGGAAGGGGGACTTGAGGGGAGCTAGCTGCAGGGACCCAGCTCCCCTGGGTCCTCAGTTCAGGGTGGCAGTTCTTCACTGTAGCTGCTCCTGGTTTCTATCCCCACACTTCAGCTTCCTGAGATGGGGCCAGGTCTCTGTGTGTACTGCTCCCTGAGGCATATTGGACCTTGGTGAACAGAATTCTACCCCTGCCATTTTTTTGTCGATTGTGAGGTTTGAAGTCAGGGCCTGGGTGCTGTCCATGAGCATTTTTTGCTCAAGGCTAGCACTCTACTACTTGGAGCCACAGCTCCACTTCTGGTTTTTAGGTGGTTAATTGGGGATAAGAGTCTCATGGACTTTCCTGCCCGGTCTGGCTTTGAAGCATGATCCTCAGATCTCTGCCTCCTGGGTAGATAGGATGACAGGTGTGAGCCACCACTCAAGGAATTCCTCTTCTTGTTTTAACTATCTCACCACCTGTGCAGGAAGTCTGTTGGTGGGCAGATAGCTCTCCAGGGGCATAGTGAAAAGGAGGCCTAGAGAGGGGTCATAACTTGCTAACAGTGCCTGGCTAGGGGCAAGGGAGGCAGTGGTTATGACAGAGGACTTAACTGAGACCCCGGATGCTGTGCTGGAGGCGGTGGATCTGGCTGGCATCCTTGTGTCTCACCAGGCCGGCCTGGCCCCCCAGGGTCCTCCTCCACGTGAGGAAGCCCAGCAGACCCTCCTCACTCAGAAGCTCCAGGCGGCTGGGGATGGTGTTGCCGGGGGCTGAAGGTGAGGGCACCTGAGCGTAGAGGGCCATCAGGTGGCTTATGGTGACCCCATTCAGGAAAGCAGTTAGTGCCAGAGGGAGCACGAAGGATACCAGCACGCTCACCTGTGGAGGCAAGTCCAAAGGTCATGGTCTGGTCATTAGGCTGCTCCCCAGGCCCAGAATTTAGAGACAGAAGTGCCAGAAGATAAGGCTGTGGAGGATCTTGGAAAGGAGGGGATAAGACAAGTGAAGCATATTTGGGATTGGTTAGTAAGCACATCATCATTAAATCATAAAGGTTTCAGAATGGAAATAAACAGAAAAGACAAAGGGGAGGGAATGATACGTGGGAACACCCACACTAAAGAAAGTTTTTCTAAAAGATCAGGGCTGCTAGATCAAAGAAAGGCTGCCTGAGTGCCTGGAACAGTGGCTAGACAAATCCACACCAAGGCTCAACATTCAGCAGCCTGACAATCTTCAAGAAACAATTGGATGCTTTCTAAATGGAACTAGAATAACATTGCCTTCTTAAACCAATAGCTGAAGGTATGAAATAATGAGTAATGCTACACGGTTTTGTGGGAAAAACAACTATCTTAGAATTTTATACCCAGCCATAGTAGGCCAACATGAAGACTAAATAATTTCTGACCTGAAAATTCCTTTTATTTTATTTTTTTTTGGTGGATTTTTTGTTAGGTCTCAGGAGGCTACAAGAATATATTTCCTAGGTCACACATAGTGGCACATGGCTATAATCCCTGCTACTCAGGAAGTGGAGACAGGAGGATCTTGGTTTGAGAACAGCTTAGGCAAAAAGCTAAGAAGACTCTCATCTGAAAACAAAGCCAGGATGGTGGATATGCCACTTCTCTGTGGTGGAGAATGATGTAGAGGCTGGAGGGGCAGGCAGGATTTGTTACTAGACATCACAGGCCTTGGCTTTCTGGTGTGTGTGTGTGTGTGTTTCCAGAAATTGAACCCAAGCCTTCCTATATACTAAGTAATTCTATACCTCTGTGGGACACCCCCAGCTTTTGATATTTTTTTAATTTAGGCAAAACAACTTTATTAAAGAATGTCCTATGTTTTAAAATGTTCAGTTTAAAAATTCTAAAATGTGGTCATGTGCTGGTGGCTCACACCTGTAATCTCAGTTATTCAGGAGGTTGAGATCTGAGACCCCAGTTTGAAGCTAGCCTAGGCAGTGAAATCTCCTTCAACTAACCAGCAACTAACTCTCATGTCCAATTAACTAGTGGAGGTGTGGTAGACTTCCAACCTTGAGCCAAGAAGCTAAGCAAGAGCATGAGGCCATGAGTTCAAGCCTCAATACTAACACAACACACGAAAGGATTTCAAAACATGTGATTTTGCTGGGTGCCAATGGCTCATGCCTGTAATCCTAGCTACTCAGGAGGCTGAGATCTGAGGATCATGGTTTGAAGCCAGTCTGGACAGGAAAGTGTATGAAAATCTTATCTCCAGATAACTATCATGAAGCCAGCAATGAAGCTGTGGCTCAAGTGGCAGACTGCTAGCATTGAGAAAGAAAAACTTAGGGACACACCAAGCCATGAGTTCAAGCCCCAGGACTGGAGTGCTCTCTCTCTCCTCTCTCTCTTTCTCTCTCTCTCTCTCTCTCTCCCTCTCTCTCATTCCATGTACTTGTTCAGGCTACAGGTCACATGTGAATTTCCTCTAAAATCCTCCCTGATATTGGATGTTTAGGTCTATGCAGAATCCCATTAAAACCCATGAAGCTGGATGTTCTGTCTAGCTTTGTACAGCAACAAAAATGACTAGCTTTTAATGATAATAAACACTGCACTTGACGTTGGTAGTTTTGTAGTAATATACCCTACTGTCCTTGTACCAGCAGCTTTCAGAAATTTTTTTCTTCCAATAGGTGTTTCTGGAGCTCAGCACCATCAGAATATTATAACTGCCAGATGCAAATCTACCAAAGGTTTCAAATACAAGTGAAAAAAAAAAAACCTGAGCAAAGCCAAGATCAGAAAATCGGACCCTTCTTTCTCAGGACGTTAACTTTACCATAGTTAAGATACTTCCTATTCACCAGGTGATGGTGGCTCACACCTGTAATGCTAGCTACCCAGGAGACTGAGATCTGAAAATTGTGGCCAGCTTGGGCAGAAAGGTCTGTGGGACTCTTATTTCCAATTAACCAGTAAAAAGTCAGAAGTGGAGTTGTGAATCAAGTGGTAGAGCACTAGCCTTGTGCACAAAAGCTAAAAGGCGGTGCCCAGGCCTTTAGTTCAAGCCCCAGGACTGGCATGCATGTGCACGTGCACACATGCACACACACACACACACACACACACACACACACACACACAGACACACACGACAGGTACAGCTTTGGTTATAAAGTAACTCTGGGGAAAGCGAATATGATGGAAGAAGTTAAACTGAAAGCACTCACCTTTCCCCTCTGACAGCCATAGCTTAGAACTGTCCTTGCTGTCGACCCGGCTGAATCATCTCCCCTCCCCTTCCCCCTGAACAACTGCGCCCTGCAGTTCTGACCAAGGCCAGATCTGAGGCTGACACCCCTGGCAGGATACAGATGCAGTTGAGGCCTTGAAACCCTTCCAACTCAAGGGAAGCTTGCTCTCCCACCTTGCCTCCATTGCAGCTGCTTCACTTCCACTTGCCCTTCCTGACTTCACTTCTGCTTCATATTTAAAGGCACCCTAGTTGTAAGGGAGGCATGCCATTTCCCCTCCAGCCAGGCTGAAGGATACTTGGTTACTCATCACAAGCTTTCCTACTGAATAAAACCTGTTGGTCGGTAGAGTGGTAGAGTCTGTCTGTTCTTTTTCTTTATTCTTTTTTTGTCAGTCATGGGTCTTGAACTCTGAGCCTGGGTGCTGTCCCTCAGCTCTTCAGCTCAAGGCGAGTGCTCTATCACTGAGCTATAGCGTCACTTCTGGCTTTTTCTACTTATGTAGTGCTGAGGAATCGAACCCAGAGCCTCATGCATGCAAGGCAAGCACTCTACCACTGAGCCACCTTCCCAGCCCTTCTTTTTCTTTTCTTACAAAATGGAGTTTGAGGTTTTCGGGAGTGACACAGGGAGAGGAGAAGGAGGGAACATGAGGCTGATGGGAGAGAGTAGGAAGAGGAAGCGGCAGGAGGGAAGGCAGAGAGGAGGGTTCAGAGGCAGCCATCCTGGTTCAGCACAGCCATACGTCCTGGTTCAGTGCTCCTGTGAGCAAGGCACTGTTCTTGGCTGGGGAGAAAAGCTAGGGATAAACTCTCAGGGGAGAGTGGGGAGACGTGGAGGAAAGCAGGATGCTTGTGGGACAGGCTTTTCTGTGCCCTGGGCACCATCCCATGAACACATGATTTTCCAAAGGGTTGCTGTACCAAGTTCTTGCTGTGAAGACAAACCTGAGTGAGCAGACACCTTTTCCTGAGTCAGGGAGGGGAAGTGGATGATCTCCTGGAAGCCAGGGAGCCTCTGACAGTGACCAGAGATCCCAGGCCTGCCCCAACACCCTTGCCCTAAACCCTTCTTTTTCCTCTGTCTTAGTTGTGTTTTTAATTCCTTGCAAAGTTGGGAGCCCTGACTCAAACCCTCCCGCCTCTCCCCACCTCCACCATGGCTGCGTTCCTTAGTGTCAGAAATGGGGTCTGAAGGTTTAAATACCCAGTTCTTTTGAGAATAAATTAATTATAAACAAAGGTTCAAACTTAAAAAAAAACTTCCCATCAGGCATTGGGGCTCCCGAGGAGGGAGTTCCCCACTTGCATTGAGCCAGGATGGCCAGGCTCCACCAAACGTGCTGGAAATGTGAACTCATGGCCTGTGAAAAGCAAGGCAGGGTGTGAGCCGTGTGAGATCCAGTCTGGGAAAGTAGCAGGATGCCGGACAGGCTGTTGCCACACATCTGTGCCGAGGTGAGGCTGGAGGAGGGATCTAGGAAGCGGAGCCAGGGCATAGTCCTCCCCCTCCCCCTCCCCCCTCCTTGGGCTGCTCTTGAGTCCCCTGCTAGGAGTGGCCTACCGGGCAGGGGGAGGGGGCTGCTGTTGCCACAGCCGGGTGGGACCGAGCAGCTGCTTTCTCACAGGCCCGCCAGCCAATTGGTACACAAACCCAGGAACATCTGAGCGCCAGTCCCGAAGAGAGGGGAAGAACACAGAGTCCGAGTTCATTCTGAATTCAGAGCTGGGCTCCTCTCCACGCTTCCTCCATGCTTAACTCCTTTCTAAACATCTTTGTAAGCCGGCCCCAGTGGCTCACGCCTGCTATCCTAGCTACTCAGGAGGCTGAGATCTAAGGATCCCGGTTCCAAGTCCGCTCTGTCAGGAAAGTCCTTTTGACTCTTATCACCCATTAACCAGCAAAACGCCACAAGCAGAGCTGTGGCTCAAGTGGGACAGCGTTAGCCTTGAGCACAAAAGCTCGGGGACAGTGCCCAGGCCCTGAGTTCAAGACTCAGGAGCAGAACAACCACCTACCCACCCACCCAACCAATCCATCCATCCATCCATCCATCCATCCATCCATCCATCCATCCATCCATCCATCCATCCATCTTGTCTGTCTGTCTGTCTCTATTAGTCTTCCTAAGAGGAATAACGAGCCGTTTCCTGGAGGTCACAAATGTTGGAGTGGAGGCCGCCTTTCCCCCCGGGGACCCCTGGGAGGGGAGGCCGGGCCGTTTCCTCCCCACCAGCCCTCTCCTTTACCTGGACGTACACCCGGAGCGCGGCGCGGCTCACCAGCACGGTGCAGACGCGCGAGGCGGGCTCGGGCTCCCCGCCGTGGGCCCGCGGCTCGTGCCTCTGCCCCACGAAGGCCGCCATGGGCAGTGCGAGG